CTTTCTATTTTCTTTTCACCACCATAAGAGGAGGTTGGCTAGGGTTTTAGGTAAAGGAACAATTGGGCTTGTCCACTTGAACAATTCGAATGGGCTTTTCCTTGTGACCCAACTAGGATTTAATCACTTGACCCAAAATAATATCCATTAACCTTTCTTGTGAAATAAGTTAGATTTTTATCGAATTTTTGGGATATGGATGTGACAATATTGACAGTGGCTACAACCACTCTATACCGTTCTTTTCCCACCACGATCACATTTGGGAACAATATAGCAATATTTGTAAACATTTATTCATGATGAGAGTTATAAGATAGAGTCAAGCCATCTTTGGCGGTCCCGAACTCGGTTTTGTTGGTCTTGCTTATCCGCTTTCCCGGTAACATTAAATTACTTANCATTTCATGTTTCGATCATTGATTGTTCCATACCGCGAGAGAATCCATAGTTTCTCCTAGAGTTTCTACATATGTGTGACCTTAAGAACGTCTGGTTTTTTAATACTTGGTGTTCATTGCAACAGATATTAACTCTATGGTATAGAGAGCTCCAGAAGTTCTTCTTGGAGCACCCATTACTCTACTGCTGTGAATATGTGGTCTGTTGGCTGCATATTTGGTACGTGTTCTCTATTTTACTTCGTGGATTTACTTCAGTATCAGTCTTCTTAAGTTAGAAGACTACAACAAGTAAACATTGGTTCTTTACCATGTGTAGCTGCACTTGTGACCAACCAAGCAATCTTTGCTGGAGACTCCGAGCTCCAACAGCTCCTCCATATTTTCAGGTAAGTCTTTTTTTTCCCATTTCCACACCCTTATACTTAATANACACAACACATCNCGTTTTAAATTGTGCGACGCTCTGTGAAAACTCAGGTTGCTCGGGACACCCAATGAAGAAATGTGGCCAGGAGTGAGCACGCTCAAGAACTGGCACGAATACCCACAATCGAAACCGTTGAGCCTCTCTTCACCTGTTCCAAACCTCGATGAGGCTGGACTTGATCTTCTCTCGGTAAGTCCAAAGTTACTTTGATTAGTTGACAAATGGACACACTCAACCGATGAACTAATTGCGTTATTAATCTTCCTGGAACAGAAAATGCTGCAGTACGAGCCAGCGAAACGAATCTCAGCAAAGATGGCTATGGAGCATCCTTAATTTAAGGGTATAATATGTATTACTTAACTAAGCATTTGCACTTTTCATGTACTGGTGTAGATTCATATGAAAATACTTTATCAAGAACATTGGATTTTAACTAAGCATTTGCACTTTTCTGCTTGCTAGTTATGTCTTGTTTTGTTTGTTTTTCTCTGATTTTGCTTTATCTTCTTTATGTGTTCGACTGCTTATCCTGCTTACTCTTAGAAACAAAACAAACTGTCAAATGTTTTGTTCAACTCCATGTTTTTGCTTGCTATTAGATTTTTCGTTCTCTTATTTTGCAGAAGTGATTTTTCAAAATCTCTCTCAAAGTAATTGTGCTTAACTACTTCTTTAGCCTTGAACCTGCCAGCATGATTCCTCACTGTCTTACGGCGCTGTCGGTAGTGATATGTCAATGGATTATCTTGCTCCAAGACTGTTCCAGAATCACTAAGAACTGGAATCAAATGCACAAGGTTTCTGAGACGCTGATCTTCTAAATTTGTTCTAGACATCAGATATAGAGTTTCCTGGATAGACAAACACATCAGCAGAACGATGCAACAATTCACGCCTATAGAGTGCTTCCAATTGCCTTGTGGGTGCAATTCCCCAGCATGCATCCCAATGTTGCAACAGGACATCTCCAAGAAGACCTTGGTCTTCTTCTATTCAAGACCAATATTCTCTGTCCATGAGTTCTGCTCAGAAAACGATTCAAATTGAAATTCAGGAATTAGACAATTCAAAGGACAACATTAGAGTGAAAATGTGACTCTGATATACATACATAGCCCATGGAGATCCAAGACTCTAGCATCAGTGATTGCAACAATGAATAATTGGAAACATTAAATGGATTTGAGACGTTGCCTAGAGCGAGAGATATTACTGACAGAATCAAACGTATAACCCTAACTTCTTCAATCGAAAACAAATAGACTGTGGACACAGAGCAAGGAAAGAGATTCAATGGTACTAGAACCGATCAAATCAGACGAATTGTAGAAATTGAAGAGCGGCAAGTGAGAACAAGGATCAAAACAAAGGGAATCAAACCGAAACCACTATGATGCAGAGGTAACTTACAGATCTAGAATTAGGGAAGGAGGAAGAAGGCGTAGAAATCCTAGCACGCAGGCTCCTCGAAGACGATCCAGAAAACATTATCAAAAACATCAGTCGAATTTCAAAGTCGGAATCAATAGATCAGCGAAACAAACATTAGCAGAAAATCGTGAGTGATGAACAAAAAACATATAGAGTGAGAGTAGCGAGATTAACCTGTTCGCAGATGGCCATGCGAGAGAGAGCACGGTGGAAGAAGAGAGGCCGAGGGAGGTCGTGATTTGTTTCCGGCAAGAGGGTTTTTCTGCTTTTTTTCTAGCAAGTGTAGGGTTTACCCTGTTCTAAAAATCGGCCGCCTAGGCGCTAGGCGGTGTTAGACCGCCCCGATTATGCCCTAGGCGCTCCGATTTTTTTTTTTTACAAGTCAAAACATTATAAACCCATATAAATAGTCCCATGGCAAAAAAAACTAAATTTTTTTGGCTTATGTTGATAAACCAGTCATTTAACCTGATTAAAAAGACAAAAATAATACAACTCGTGGCTTATGTTGGGCTTTAGTTAAGACGCACATTCGCAATTGTAAGCGACCTACAAATTGAACAATATATAGATCAGCTTAGATAACGTTTTTTCTCTCATTCTCAATGTGGA